TTTTTATTTTGTTTTTATTTTTTTTATGATTTTGATTTAAATAAAATAATATATAAAACTTATAATATCATATAATTCAAAATAAATTTTTTCATATTTAAATATTTATAAGAATTTAAATTTGACTCGAAATTTGATTTGAACTTAACTCAATTCAAATAAATTCAAGTTAAAATTGAGTCAAGTTAAACTTGAATTGAGTTAAATTGAGTCAAATTTAAAATTTATATAACTCGAATCAAGTCGAGTTGAAAGATTTTATAAAATAAATTTAACTTGACTTGACTCGACTCATTCAGAACTCTATATAAAAGTATATTTTCTTTAATATTTTGAAATATATAAAATCTGTAAATTAATACTAATCTATTAATATTTGTAATAATATCTTAATATATAAGTAAAATAAATAAATAACTATTTATAAAACTTAAAAAAATTAATAAAAATAAGTTAACATTTTAATTCAATTTTAAAAACCCTTTTAAAAAAAGACTTACTTATTTAAAAAGATAAAAAAAAGTTAGAAAAAATAAGAATTTATCCTAAAGAATCTCTTAAAAAAAGAATTACTCTTAATCTGCAAAGAATGAAATATCTACTTTTAAAAAAAAGAAAAGAAATTTACTTAAAAAAAATCTTTTAAAAAATCTGAAAAAAAACACATTTTGTTTAAAAGAAAAAAAATTTATTTATAAAAAAAAAAAGCAAGTAAAAAAATCTAATCAAAAAAATTTCTAAGAAAATACTTATCTTATTCAAAAAGAATAAAATATTCTCTTCTTAAAAAAAAAAAGGAAGTTAATAAGATAAAATACATTTATAAGAATCTTCTGATAGAACTTTAAAAAGTAAGACTTATCCTATCTGTAAAAATGAAATTTTTACTAAAAAAGAAAGAAAGATATTATTAATAAATATATCCAAAAGAATTCTTCTGATAAATCTTGAAAAGAAAAAACTTATTTTATTTATAAAAACAAAAGGTTCATTTCTAAAGAAAGAAAAACAAATTCCTATTTTTAAATTAATAAATATAAAATAAAAAAAGATTAATATAAAAAAAAAAAATAAAAGATTAATATTATCAAAAGTCAATTTCAAATACAGTAGCTGTTAGAAAAAAAAATAAAGATTACAAAAAAAAAAATTTAACTATCAAAAAAATAGATTATGAAAAATAAAAATAAAATATAAAATAAAGATTATAAAAAAAATAAAATAAAAATAACAATAAAAAGATTTAATACGAAAAATAAATAATAAAAAAAAGAATATAAAAAAAGAATAAAAAAATAAATTATGAAAAATAAAAAAAATATAAAAAAATAATAAAATATATATAAAAAAGAAAAAATCTAATACAAAAAATAAAAAATAAAAAAAGAATAAAAAATAGATTAAGAAAAATAAAAAAAAAATATAAAAAAATAAATATTATGAAAAATATATATACAGTCAGGCCTTCATACAGTCACACCCTATACAGTTACACTTCTTTATAAGCATTTAATTTTGTAAAACAGATTTTAATATTATTTAATTGCCTCTTTATAATCACAAATCAGATATAGTCACTATCATCTTATGATCCATAATGTATATATCATTTTTATTAATAATTTGACCTCTTTATAATTACAAATTTCTGATTAGCTTATCAAATAAGTTATTAAAGTCTGCAAGTCCACAAAGATATAATGATAAAATAGTTTAAAAATGTAACAACTTAAAATATAACACTTAAAATGTAACACTTAAATATAATACAATAAAAAAGAACATAATTATAAAATATAATGCTTGAAAAATTATCATATTTCAGTATTTTCTTGTAATAAATTTTATTATATTTTTCTGTATTCATTCAGAGAATTTCATATGGTTGGTTTTCCTACATCAAGTATTAGTTATGATGCTACAAATCCTAAAATATCATTGTAGCTTTATAAAAAGCTCTTTTAAAAAATCTTTTTAAAAAAAACTTTTTTGTTTGACTAGTTTTTTATAATACCCAAACAACATTATTTAGCTATAAGTACTAATCTCAAACACCAAATTTGTGAATAGGCAAAAAATAATAATAATAAAAAACATTCTGAAATTGCAGCCTATTTAATGAAAAAAACTCTACTTTAAATATTAACTATAGCACTATATCAAAAATATTAGCACAAAGTAAAAAATGGAATTCTGTATTAGAATCTTTAGATTCTAAAGAAATTTACAAAAAATAGGGAAGTCAAATTTCTAACACTTGATCATGCTATGAATTTATTAGTAAAAAATGTAATAGTAAGTGGTATTATTTTAACAGATTTATTAATAAAAGAAAAGGCAAAATTTTTTGCCAATGCATTTAATATATTAAGAAAATGAGTTAGTTTTCTCTAATGGTTGGCTATATAAATTTAAAAAATATAACAATATTCATAAGTATCATATGCATGGAGAGTCAGGAAGTACACTATTAGCAACTCTTCCAGAAGAACAAAAAAAGTTACAATTACTTTAAGGTTGATATACTCTTAATCGAATTTATAATATTGATAAAATAGTAAGTCTAATATACTTTTTATATTATATGCACTAATATAGTATTTAATTTACTATTACTAAAAATAATATTAAAGGACCTTTTTTATCAATTGTTACCTAACCAAATACTTTCTACTAAATCTGTTTCTGATCTGAAGAAAGACAAATCAAGAATTATAGTCCTTCTTAATACTAATGCAACAGGAACAAACAAGCTTAAACCATGGGTAATTAGTAATGCAAAATGTCCAAGTCCTCTTTCAAAAATTAACTTAGAACGTCTTCTAATCTATTATCATGGAAATTCAAAAGATAGATGAACTCTTTGATTTTTGAAGAGATGTTTTGTGAAATAGATAGTTATTTTAGAATGCAAAATAAAAATTTTTTGCTTTTGATTGATAATGCATCATTACATTTCAATTCACATTATTTACTAACTTTAGAAATTAAACAAGATGATCAAAATAAATCTAATGAAAATAATACTGATGAAGAAATAAAATCTATATCAATATTTGGTAAGTTGTTTTTTAAATTTAAAATTTATTTAAATTAATAATTAATAAATATTTATTGAATTATTTTTTTTTAAAAAGGTCAAGATTATAGTAGTAGATCAAGAGGTTATGTTGGTAGATCAAAAGGTCATGATGGTGGATCAAAAGGTCATGATGAATATCAACTTCAATTTATACATATTGAAATAGCTTTCTTACCTCCCAATACTACAAGTCATCTTTAATACTTGATGCTGAAATTATTGTAAACTTTAAAAGTTATTTCAAAAGAAAATATTGTTAGATCTTTTTAAAGATGTAAAAGATATAACAAAGAGAAAATTAATATTAAAGAAGTAATAAATTATATTACAGATGCATGAAATTGTGTAACTAAAAATAATATAGAATTGTTAGAAAAAAACTGGAATTTTACCTTCTTTAACTAATGAAGACATAGATGATACAATGCAAACTCAACAAGAGAAAATGATGAAGAAGAAACAAATATTAATCAAATAATTAATGAATTTGATATGAATGATTCACATACTGCTTTATTGGTAGATACATTAAATGATTTTTTAATGATTTAAAAGAAATTCTGACTGAAGATATTTTAAATGAAAATAATATTATAAAACTTATTTAAAATAAAACACTTGATAAAAATGAAAATAGTGACTCTAAAAAAGAATAGATATTAGTATCTTTGAGCGATGTTCTCAAATCTCTACAAATATGAATTATATTTTTTGAGTAATAACAAATGGATGAATTCTGTATAGAAGATATAAATATCTTTAACAAGTATTTTAAAATAGTTAGATAGTTTGAATTGTAATCTCAAAAGCAAGTTCAGATTACAAAATTTTTTTAGTATTCAATTAATATAAAGTAATAAGTAAATAGCATTTATACATCACTTTTATATAATATTTAAATAATATTTAGTATATTATTATAGTATTTATATTACATTTAAACAATTTAATAAATATAACAAATTTAACTAATGTTTAATAAAGCATTTTCTAAAAATTAACTATTATATTATTGAATGATCTCTATATAGTCATTATACATAATTTTTAATATAACGGTAATTGTATAGAAGTTACTTTTTTACAGTAACACCTCTATATAATCACTGATTTTGAGAAAACTAATTAGGTGACAATATGGAGATCTGACTATATAATATAAAAGAAGATTTAATATAAAAAAAAATAAAAAATAAAAAATTATGAAATAAAATTGATTTTGATAAAAAAAAAATATATAAATATAAAAAAAATAAATTATAAAAAAACAAAAAAAAACAAAAAAAAATTTGATTTAATATGAAAAAAATGAATAGTAATTAATACGAAAAAAACTAAAAGTGAAAAAAATAAGATTGATTAGATTTGATAATATTTGTAATTAATTTAATATCTGAAATGATTTTTAATATTTGAAATTAATTTTGATATCTGAAATAATTTGATATTCAAAAATTAATTTAATATCTAAATATGATTTTGATATTCAAAAATCAATTTAATATTTAAAATGATTTTAAAAAACTTTTAAATATTTGAAATACAATTTGTATTACAAATGGAAATACTATTTTCATTAAGTTATATAGATTTGAAAAATTAGCATTTCTTGATATACTTTACTAATATTATAACATTAAAAATATAAACAAATTTTCTTAACTTTTTGGTTTATTTTTTATTAGACAACATTCTATAACTTTACAAAATAAATGTTTAATTCTTAAAATTAAGATCTCATTTATTAATATTTATTCTTATAAAATGATAAAAAAAAGTTTTAATAAAAATATTAATTATATATTGTAAGATTTTGTTAAAAAATTTGATAAAATGTTAGAATATTTATATATAAATAATTTAATTATTAAGCAAGCTAGCATAGCGGGCTTAAATCTGATTGGTTGATCTTAAAATGATCGTCGCATATTAATTTTCATATTAAAAGATGATCATCTAACTTTAAATGGATTCGCAGCCACAGGGATGAATTCGCAAGGGTTGTAATAAAAAATTTTTAAAATATACCTTTCGTTCTATACACTGTTAAAGTAATTTGGTAAACGAGAAGGTAATTCAGAACTTAGCTAATAAGGGTTTTATGTCAATTTTTATTATAAAATCATTTAATTATTGAAAAGAAAAGAATACAAGCA